CAGTAGCTCCAGCACCAGCAGCACCTCCAGCACCAGCAGCGCCTCCAGCAGCTCCAGCACCAGTAGCGTCTCCAGCAGCTCCAGCTCCAGCAGCACCTCCAGCAGCTCCTGCGCCAGCAGCACCAGCACCAGCACCAGCTCCAGCTCCAGGGTCCGCGGCACCAGCCGCAGCTCCAGCTCCAGGGTCCGCGGCACCAGCAGCGGCTCCAGCTCCAGGGTCCTCAGCACCAGCAGCAGCTCCAACTCCAGGGTCGGCGGCACCAGCAGCACCACTCCGGAGACTGCAGCGCCGAGCGTACCACTCTCGGAGCCGCTGGGGAGAGGGCGGCTCCCGCCTAGGCGGGGAACCACGAGCACCAGCTCCAGCAGCACCCCTAGCCCCAGAAGCGCCCCTCCTGAGGCTGCAATACCGCGAGTACCACTCACGCAGCTGCTGGGAAGAGGGAGCGCCTCCAGGCGCAGCACGGTCAGTCGCAGCACCCCCAGGCTCAGTACCCTCAGACGTAGCACTCTCAGGCTCAGCACCCCCAGACTCAGCACCCGCAGGCTCGGCACCCCCAGACTCAGCACCCCCAGGCTCCGCACGCTCAAGCTCAGCACCCCCAGGCTCCGCACCCCCAGGCTCAGCACCCCCAGGCTCCGCACCCCCAGGCTCAGCACCCCTAGCAGGACGAGAGTCGACAGCTACCTCGACAGGCTCAACTGGGTCTACCTGGGACACACCTGAGGGAGCGGCACCCTGAGGGGGGAGGGGGTCTACCACAGCAGCACCTGGTGCGAGGAAGAGAGGCGGGGGGGGGAGCGGGGCAGTGCGGTAGGGGAAGAGGCGGTAGTAGGGGACCGACTCGTCGAAAGTGACGTCCTGAGAGGGCAGGACACGGCGCGAGGTGGCGTGGTAAAACTGCCAACCAGACGCGTCCGGGACAAAGCCAAGGAAGACACAAGGAACAGCGCGGGAGGAGAGCTTGTCCGCGGACGTATCGCGGACAAAAGCACGAGATCCCCAGACCTGGAACACCGACGCATCGCCAACCTTTCCCGTCCAACGCAGTGTCGGCGAAGTCTCAGGAACGGAGAGGTTGAGCTGATGCGCAGCGTATCGGACCGCAAACGGCCACAGAAAGTGGGGGGCAGCCGCATGGATCAAGGAGGTACGAGCGACCTCCATGACCAAGCCAATGCGGCGCTCAGCAACCCCATTCTGCTGTGGAGAGGCCGGAAGCGTGAACGACTGCTCAATGCCCTCCCCCTGACAGAAGGCCCTCAAGAGGTCGGAGGAAAACTCCCCACCTCTGTCAGAGTGCAGACGCAGGACAGGAAAGTCCGAGTGGAACCTCTCGCTGAGCTGGAGACGGGCAGCGCGGATCCAAGGGATCAAAACATCAGGGACTTCACCCTTGGTGCGCAAGGGGAAGACCGTGGTGTAGCGCGAGTAGTCGTCAACAACTATCAAGAAGTACCTCTCGTGACCCTGTCCACGGACGCGGGCTGGGCCCCACACGTCCATGTGGAGGGTCTGCAGGGGAGCAGTCGTCGGGGGAAACGAGGAGGAGTGAGGAGCGGCGCGCTGCCGCCCCTCGACACAGGGAAGACAGGGAGGAGCAGGCGAGGTTGGGAGGGGAGGGAGAACCCTGGGAAGACCAGAGACAAGGTACCGGGAGTGCATGCCACGAAGGCGCTGCACTGACGGGTGACCAAGGCGGTGGTGCCAGAGGACGGTCTCGTGCGCCAGGGAGCGACACGAGCAGGGGGCCGACAGCTGACCTGACGCAGACGCAGCTACCTGAGGGGACTCAGTGGTCAGTGTGTACAGGTCCAACCCCGGCTGCCGAGTGAAGGTAGCCAGGTGGCGACCCGTCCGAGCACACGTGCAGTGTGTCACGCGCTCGTAGGTAGGGGTGAACTGGTGGACACCCCCGTCCTGGAGCGCACGACCCGCCACCAAGTTCGTAGAGAACGAGGGGAGGTAGATACCTGACAGTGTGCCCGACGGGACCGCAGGACAAGGGAGGACAGTGGAGGAGGTCGCAATGACCGGACCCCCGGAGGGGTCAGCGAGGGAGACTGCAACCGGCCGAGCAAGCTGCTCAAGGGCAGTGCGGTCACGAAAGAAACAGCGGGAAGCACCTGAGTCCAGTGTGAAGGTGTGCAGTGCCTCAGTAGACGCAGTACCAGAGGGCGCAGACTCACGAGTACCTAGAGCAGCAGCCTCACCAGCACCTTGGGCAACAGACACACTAGCACCTAGAGCGGCAGCCTCACCAGCACCTGAGGCAACAGACACACGAGCACCTAGTGCGGCAGCCTCACCAGTACCTAGAGCAGCAGACTGGATACCGGGGTCAGGCGGCACACTCAGGTGACAGGCACCCTCAGCACTAGTAGACAATGCATACATGGCAGTGAGGAGAGCATCATAGTCAAGAGCAAAGATATCTACCCTCTGCCTAAGCAGCTCCAGCCAGGAGGGGAGCTCAGCGTCGTCACCAAACTCTGTACGCCAAGCGTCACTCAGACGGGCGAAGCAGCGGAACTCTGTGTGACTAGGTGTCCCGCAAGGCTGACCAGTCCGGACACCTGTGCGAATGACGTACGGGCAGCGAGCAGGACTCAGTGACCCGCTACTCTGAGCGTACCACTCACGAAGCTGCTGGGGCGAAAGAGCCTCGCGGGGACGACGCTGCAGCTGCACCTGGCCACTACCAGAAGCTCCCGAACGACCCACTCCAGAGCGACTCCCACTACGGGCACCCCGACAGCCCCAACTAGCGTACCACTCACGAAGCTGCTGGGGCGTGAGGGACTCACGCGCACGGCCTTGGAGCTACATCTGGCCACGCCAGGAGCAGCAGTAGCAGCAGTAGCGGCAGTAACAGCAGTAGCAGCAGGAGTAGTAGCAGTGGGAGCAGTAAAAGCAGTGCTCACCAGTGGTGGGAAGGGCAGGCGCAAGACGGCGGCGACAGCGGGGCCGCTACAGCTGCAGGGCGGGGCCGGGCCGCGGCAGGGAGCTCCGCGGCAGCTGCTGCAGGGCGGGGCCGGGCCGCGACGGCAGCTGCTCCAGGGGCCAGGGGCGGCTGCTGCAGGGGCGGCTGCTCCAGGGGCCAGGGGCGGCTCCTGCAGTGGCGGCTGCTCGAGGTGGCCAGGGGCGGCTGCTGCAGGGGCGGCTGCTCCAGGGTCCAGGGGCGGTTGTAGGTGCGGCTGCTCCAGGGGCCAGGGGCGGCTGCTGCAGTGGCGGCTGCTCCAAGGGCCAGGGGCGGCCGTCCCAAGGGCGGGCGCGGGGTAGGGCAGGGCGCCGCGGCGAGCAGGGGCGACTCCGCGCGGGTCCCAGTGGCGACGCGCGGGTCGCGCGGGGGCGTCGCGACGAGGCAGGGGCGACGCGCGCGGGTCCCGCAGAAGCGCCGCGACGAGGCGGGGGCGACGCGCGGGTCCCGCAGGGTCGTCGCGACGAGGCAGGGGCGACGCGCGGGTCCCGCAGGGGCGTCGCGACGAGGCAGGGGCGACGCGCGGGTCCCGTAGGGGCGTCGCGACGAGGCAGGGGCGACGCCCGGGTCCCGCAGAGGCGTCGCGACGAGCAGGGCGACGCGTCGCGGGGTCCAGGGGCCGCGCCTCGGGGTCCAGGGGCAGCTGCGCGGGTGCAGAGCAGGCCCGCGCGCGGCCTGCAGGGCAGGGCGGCAGGGTGGCGCTCGAGGGCGCGGGTAGGCAGGCGCTCAAGGGCGCGAGTAGGCAGGCGCTCGAGGGCGTGGGTAGGAAGGCGCTCGAGGGCGCGGGTAGGCAGGCGGACGGCACACGGGGCTGCACGGGGCCGCGAGGGGCTGCGTGCGAGGCTAGTGGGCAGCGCGCAACTAGCAACAGGGCGCACGACAGCACTAGAAGGGGCGCTCAACGGCGCTAGTAAGGGCGCTCGACGGCGCGGGTAGGGGCGCACGACGGCGCGAGGTACTATCAGACACGGTCGCGCAAGGGCGCGGCGGAACGGTGGGCCCTAACCAACATCGGTCCTAGGTCCTGACCTAGGCGTCGGATACCATGTTAGAATGTAGAACTGAACGAGGATGAATCAACTAGGCAGCAGGGTGATACAAGTAGGAAACCCTAGCAATGTTGTACCCCCTAAGGCTAAACCCACTATAGCCTGCTTGACTTGCTCTTGTTGTACACTGATATATATCTTTATACCTACTTGTTTACTCTTGCTAGGTTGTGATCAGTGTACTGCCTTGCTACTATAACTCTGCATGTGAACTGGCCTTGTGGCCGCTTGCTTGTGCTCAGATTGTGTGGGGTCCTTGAGATCCACCCTGAGCTTTGCTTTGCTTGTTCTCTTGCTTGACTGGTCTTGTGACCGTCTGTTGTGTTTGCTATCTCCCACTTAGCCTATGGGGGTGTGTCAAACTATATGTTTGTGTTCTCTCTAGGCTATAGTGGGTTAGCCTACAAGGGGTACAACACTTTAGGGTTAAGTACTTGTACCCAACTCATTCATAGTTCATTCATTCCTGCACAGTGATTCTGACAGTTTAGGGTATAAGACCTTCTAGGTTTCCATATTTGTGCCCATCTCCTGCTAGTCACATTCCTTCCGCTACGCACGATTTCTGAGACGTTGTCCAACACTGAAGTTGTTCAAATGATCTGGTTGGTATAAAATAACTATATTGTCAACATGTTTTAGTGCTCTTTCGACTAATGACAAACATGGAGTGTGATAACGCACTAAAAAAATCAAGCAACACAATTAA